ATTTTTTTTTTCAAATCAACTTTTTAATTAGTCTAATAAATTAAAAGATTGTCCCTTAAATACTCTTTCCGAGTATAAAATTGCATCGGTTGTATCTTTTAACTGTAATCACTTGTTAGTTGGTTAAACATTTTACAAGAAACAGCATTGAAACTAGAAAGGAAAACTTTTTTATAGTCAAAATAATTCTTCTTAATACCATTTTATTTGCTCCATCGAAGCGCAAAACGATTGCTTAATTTAATTATATACCTAAAGACACTCAGAAAAACATAGCCTAACTTTCAAGGGTTGCAATAGTCTTACAAAAGGATAAAAATTGTGCACTCTTGAAATTTAGGTCATGATAATTTCAGTTTCCTTTATTTGATAATTAATAAATATACCAATTTGTTTTCCTTAATTATGTAATTAATCCCGGAAAGTCTTTGTCAATTCAATGGGAAAAATAACTTTCAAGGAATAGAATAACGTTATAAAAGGATAAAAATTCGGAACCTTGAAAATTACATTACGGTTATTCAGATTGTTTATTCGAAACGTTATAAGCATATTAACTTATTCTTGCTAATTATCTAATTAGACCCGAAAAGTCTGCATTTCAGTGGGGTAAATTAAAAATATTACAGTAAAATGTTTTGATGGTTAAGAAACGCTTAGTGTTGTTTTTGGTAAAAATGTTTAAATAATTAATTAGTCATTAAAGCCGGTGTAATTTTATAGTAATCATCACAAGGAGCATTCAAAGTGCAATTTTTTAATACAAAACACCTTAATTAAAAAGTCGGTTTGAAAAACAGTAACAAAAAAACAGTACTATAAATACTTACTAGTTATTTCCGTCCTCAAATAATGTAAATAAATTGTATTTAGACTAAAATAGTCGGGATCATTTTATCATCAAGTGCTAAATTAAAACAAATGTATTTATCCGTATATTAAGTAACAATAGTGAAAATAATTGTTAGGATTTTTATAATACTACTAAGAAAGTCAAAATATAGCAAAATAAATATTCGTATATCTCACCTGAATGCAGTAACTGTAAGATTACTGACACCATACGCATGGATATCCCTAAAAGTGGCCCTATATCCATCAGGACCGGACCCGAGCGCTATTCCAATTTCATCGATTATTATAGGCTCCGGCTCTGTCAAACCCAATTCCGGAATTCCATGTTTCATGTAAGCAACCAGATTATTAGCAGACTTTTGCAGACAAGTATTCACTTCTGGATCATCTTTGTGGCACTGCTTTAGATAGTAATAAGCTGCCGAAAACGATAAAATTGGGCATTTAGGTAGTATTTTATTACAACAAGTTCAACATTAAGTCACTATCACCTACTAAAATCCATTTCAAGTAACTGTATACAGCGCATTTAGCCTAAAGCGACAATTAAACTTGGAGACTCCGATGATGCGTTAAGCGACAAACCCTTTTTCAGATTATTAAAACTGCGTTTTAAAAGGTAACCTTTGAAGTAGTTGATTGATAACACCGATAACCATTATTTCGTTGGTTTACGTTTAATACAAACAAAAAATAATCACCACAATAGTTTTAGAAAGATTTAAAATTATTTAGTGTAGTAATGAATGAATTGTATGAACAATTTTGCTGTTTCATAAACGACATAAGCTTGCCTATATGTAACTTGTAAAATATAGTTTATTAATTTAGTTAAAAAATAGTTCTAATTTATTGCAATAATCTACATTCACCATTAACAACATTCGTAAATACTTTACACC